GATATGGCTTGGTGTCGCAAACAGTAGCGCTCATGCATCTACCCATTATCATTGCAACATCAGTTTATGAATTCTCTATCTTCCCTTTGACTGTGCTCTCAACATTCTAACCTTCATTCTACCCTTTTATCTACTTTTTTCGCACACGTCTGATCAAGACTGCGTGCAAAACAAATTGTGGTACAATAATCTTTGTGAGAAAGAAAGACGTTCTATGATTTGCATGTGAACGGAATACTGCTAGGTTGCCCAGACCAAGGCAGGTGAATTTTCTTGAGAAATCTACAATCGGAGCCTTTGGTTTGCTAGAACCTGACCCGCAAGGCAGCGGGGCGGCTTGGGTGAAAACCGCAATTCATTGGGGGCCAGTGTCCAGTTCATCGGATCATACGCCCTTCTGACGGGGTCGAACGTCCAGGGTGCCCAANGAGGTGAATTACCAGTGGGTCACCGACCCGGTTATGACCCCGAATGTTGGCTTTGGTGGGAAGGCAGTGAGTAGGGCTTCCTCAGCAGAGGTTAGTTGAGACGCCTTGAGCATTTTGCGTGGTGTAAAAGAATGATGATCAGTCACAATTCGCGACACCCACCCCGACGATACTGAGGCCTTCGGAGGTATGATGAAATAAACAGGACAACGACCGTGAATGGAATATGGTTGTTACACAACTTTGCTGCCTTGCGGGCCAGGCTTGGTATGACTGAAGACTCCAGTTGTTAATTCCCCAAGAGAGTTCACCTGTTTAGACCTGGTTAACCCAGCAGTATTCAGCCCACGAGCAAATAATACAACGATTTCTGTTTCATAAAGATTGTTGTACTGCTATTTCTGGGCACAATCTAAACGCAAAGCTTGTGAAATATAATGATACCTTTCTTGCAGCTCCGAGAGCCATGTATTAAATGTTTCAGAGTCCTCATTTTCATTTTACTCAAGAAACGATCTTTTACCCCCCCCCCCTTACCCTAAATTTTCATACTGCCCTCTCCCGTCTGTTAAAAAAACAACGCTCCTTTCTGGGTTTCCTTTCATTCATTTACATCTTGGGGTGGCGATATACTTTGTGTTTGCTAGTTTTCTTTTGTGGACGCCAGAATTCAATTAACTTCGTACAGCTTTCGCATCAATGACTTATTCTAGACTGTATCACTTATCACCTCTAGCTAGCGTCGATCCCTATCTCTTGGTCTCCACCTGGAAAACCGGCTGCACCAACCGAAGCCTATTGTGAAGGGAGCTTTTTCATACTTCTATACCGGATCATTAACAGTTTAGTTTCGTGTCCGTTCGCTTCAATGTTCTGTTTTTGTTATCGAGACTGATATTTAATACGTGACGATCGCTACCACTTTTAATCAGGAAGGACACCTTGTCCTAGAACTAGAACTCCAGAACTCTTTCTCATGGGAACATCATTCAGCTATTGAGAAGGAAACGTAAACTGTGTTAAAAGTAACAGGTAAATTCTACTCGACTACCGTTTCAAGCTCATCAGCGATCAGCGGTTTCTCCTTCATTTTCGAAAACCAGAACCGTGGGAAAATCAAGAATGATAAAATCTTGTGATGAAAAACAGGTCTGTTCCCCTACAGCTTTGACGTTGTGTAGAGACCCGAAGACTAATGCCGTTGACGCACTTAGGTTATCATTCTGAGGAGCTCTTTTCGTGGGAGTGAACCTTAGAGCACTCCATGATTTCTGATGTCATCTGTTGGTCTCTTATGATTCATTATGACAGCCGGTACTTTACTATTCTGGATGGATAAATTGCCGACCCTAACAGTCATTCGCGGGATCCGTTCTGAATTAAAACCCAAGTAACAGTCTACCATTGGAGGGCATTTGATTAAGCTTCACAACAGTCCAATTGATTTTGAAGGCACACTTCCCTGTACGGCCGAGAATCAGTACCTGTTGGCGGTTATCGAGAAGTATACACAGTTCCCCTTTGCGTTCACTTGTTCAGATCTACTTCAGTTGCTTTTTCTAACTATTGTTCCTGTTTGAAACGTATGTTCCCATTTGAACAGGGACACTTTTATTGCACTCATTTGTGTGATGAATAACAGACTGGCTAAACGCTTTAGTCACGAAGACCTGCTGTTCATTGATGGAAGCCGGTAACCTAAGCCCCGAGACTTGGAATGGCGAACCGCATAAGGCCCCGCTAGGTTAGGCGTGGTGGACGACAGCAAAGCTGTCTGCTACTAAACTAAGGTAGTAGTGGCGGGACTCAAATCCTAGGGTCCGAGGTACGCCGGTGACAGCAACTAAACCACTGCGCCAGCACTTGCCTCATGTTCAAAGGGCGAGGAGATATAAGCCAGAAAAACGATATACAAGGTATTATATATATATATATATATATCCTAATGGCGCTCGAGCATCCACTCAATTTCTTCGCAATTTTATTCTACATCATTCTCCATCTTCACCCTGGTACCGCCTCCAGCTTTCTATTTCTTCATCCAAATGGGCTGTCAGAACATGGTAACTGAAACGGCCACACCTAATTTGAGGGTTAATGTTTGTATAAACTGAAAATGATCCCATGTTATCTCTCTCTCTCTTCAACATTCACACAGACGGTATATGTTGAATAAAACCTAACGTTTGACCCTTCATCGTTCTAGTTTCTCACGCATTGTGTTACTGTGCCGTACTAAAGCATAACTGTATTCGAATTTAATCTCTCTCTCTTTGGTAATGATAAGGTCCTTGTGTCTTATTTTTCCTCAGTCTTTCAGTACCGGAATTACTGACTCATCGTTGTCGTAGCATGAAATATACAGAATGCCTCTGATGGGATACGCTAAACGTTCAGTTCAGTTCGACACGAATTGTGATCCGGTTCATCGATCAAGTCGTTCTAAATCTTGTTTTCGTACTTACATCACAAAAGCCAAACTTTTTGAAGTCTAAAGACATCATAATCGCAAGGGTAGAAAACGAGAAGACTCCGCTCTCCAATGCTTTTTTCCACCTTTGCTTCACATATTTGCAGACTTGTTCTATGAAAGCTTCTGGTGCATTTCACTCTTCCATTTATATGTAGATTTCTTGTGCCACTCGTATTCCGACACCAGACTGATGCGAAATATGATGTGTTGTGAAGCCAAAGTATCGGATTTTAAACATTTTTTCAGTTTGTTCAGTCTTGTAAAAAATGTAAATGTCTTTTTACTTCCTTTTTTATTCATTGAATATATAAATCTTCAGTCAATTCTCTTCTCGACCGAATCCAAACGGTGCCTGTTCCAATGAGTCACAAGTTAACAATGTTCAGAATGGCTTTCATGTGAGTTCAGAGAATCGGAGAAAAGACCGGCTCATTTATTCTGCCCCACCACAGTATCAGTGACAGCCTGACAAGCACTTGTTGACGAACTCCATGTTTGAAATCATTTGCTTGTCGAAACGGGTTTCAGCTTTTCTGTAGAGTGAGTGCGTAGTGTTCAACGACGTTTTCTTCGTGTTGTGTTTCGGCGGAAGCTGTTTCAAACTATTTCGTGACACTATAAATTTGACTTCACTTATTTTTTTAATCTACATTCAGTTACTTTTCTTGCTTTCGTACTATTGTCCTCAGAAAACGAATTACGCTGCTTTCCTTCCACAACTGTATTTTCCCAGTAGCGAACTAAGACAATACGACATACAAGATTAGCCACCAGTCAGCTGAAACTGCTTTTACTTGCGTTCCCGACACTAGTACGTGAGCGTTTCTCATCGACTCGCTAGCCACTGACAAAACACGATCCTGGTTGGTTGTTCACTATGTCTGACCCAAATTTCTGGCTAACAAACTGAAATGTGAATTGAAAATGTTGCAGGATAGCGGGGCAGGTAAAATACACTATCACATCGGGTATATGATTTATACAACAAACTTTACTGACGGGTTTCGGAAACAAGTACCTCAAAAAAATTCATCAAACGTAAACATAAAACCTTGATTAGTTAGGATCGATCATAGGAAGATTTCGTGTTTGCAATGCGCATTTGTGAAAACGTATTACTGTAGTTAACTCGTTAAATCAACCCAGTACTGTTCCTGAGTAAAAGAATCTTTGGATCAACACTGTTGAGCGCTGAATTTTGGTTAACACATTAATCGGTGATAAAAGTGAATATGCGATTCATCGTATGAAGGAATTGTTCACCTTAGAGAATTAGCCCGATGCTGTCAGATTTATTCCGGAACTGGCAGCTAAAGCTGCATGCACGTTGCAATCTGAATCCTCAACAGGGCTCTAGATCCTTTCGTACAGTCGATCGCCGAGAAAAAGAGAAACCACCAGGCCTTTTTATTACGTACATTTATGTGGTGAACAGCAGACAGGGCAAACCCCATAGTTACGAAGACCTGCTGCTCCGTCATGGAAACCGGAAACGTAAGCCCCGGGACTTGGAGTGGCGAACCACATAAATCCGCGATAGGTTAGGCGTGGTAATGAACCGGACGACAGCAAAGCTGTCTACCACCAGGTTTGTATCGTTTTTTTCAACGTAGAGGATGATATCATCATCGTACAGCGAAATACCGTGAGTTTGCATTGTGGAAATGCACAAGGTAGATAGGAATTGGACCCATTTTGAGAGGGGGGAAGGTGAACCTCTATCTTCAACACAGTACACAATCTAACTGCATATACATATCGTTTCAAGTATTCTGGCCTGATGAGAAAGGTCAGCTAGAACGCCACTGCTTTTGGTTCGCTGCCGTCTCCTTCAATGTCTCAAGCCAACTGGTTTCAGAGTCTTTCGGACTCAAACCTGGAGGGCGCGAGACAACTTCTGTAGCTGATCGCTCCATACACTTCGGTATTTTTTCTTGTAGAATTACATTACTGTTCTGCTTTATACTTGTCGTGAGCATCGTAAGTGGTCCTGAGGTTTACCATTGTCCATGCTTTACTCTGAAAAGAATGATGCAGCTACCATCCTAGAAACCGGTCGGGATACTTACAGCAAATATTTCCCGAATTAACTTTGCGAAATGTTGCCAAAATTAAATCAATCTCTTGGTAAGTTTACCAAATCGTGAGTACTGTTACTTCTCCAGTTGGACAGAAGTATTAGAAGATAGGAGAATGCGTTCTACTCATCCAGCAATTGAAAATTATGATCTATGGTTGGCAAAAAAAGTCGTGTGATATGCGATATGAAATACGTACGGAATCGGTTCAGTTTGAACGGTCTCACAGCGTAGTGAAAACACTGGCCAATTTATATTGTCAGAATGAAAGTTGATTATTAAACACCGCATGTCTCCTATCAGGAACAAATACCAATGTATTCACTATTCCCAGTTCGGATCCGATTTCAAGTTACCGGTCAAGTTTACATCTTCGGTTTGTCGTTCTGGCGTGGGACCTCTAATTTTTGTGAGTTAATTTCTAAAGCGACTAACCATTACAAAGCACTGTTTTAGTTCGCCATAGCAGGTTTGTTTCCGTATTTGGCACTAATCGAATCCATCTCCAACCACTGTTGCCAGAAACATATCGAGATTATCACAGTAATGTATTTACCGACCTGATATTGGCCTTTCCGTTAGATGTGACTGACTGAATTCGACCATACAACTGTTATTGAACGAAAGATAGGCTTTCTTAACCGATTTTTCACTACTCACCATTGTGTCCTGAACAATGTTACTGGTGGACCCCATAGTCACGAAGGTTATTGGTTTACTTATGGTAACTATCACCCTAAATTTAGGGATTTAGAGAGCGGAACCACAGCTAAAACCTCAGCAGGGTACGTTTGGTGTCGACAGCAATACTGCCTGCTACCGAAGTTGGCTGACAATATCTGTGTGCGAACTCTTGGTCGTAGCTCGAGTCACGCCAGTGATGGCGACCTCTACCACCAATGTTGATCGTCAGGTATTTGCCTGAGAGGTATCATTTAGTTGCACTGTTTCATTATAGACTTTGCCTCCGCTCATCCGAATCTGCTTTCTAATGCGTTTCACACCTCTGTTTTATCATATTCCATAGAAATCGCAACAGTCATGCTCAATGAGCTCGTCAGATCCTCTGACCTGTTCCGCGGCCTGAATGACGCACTCAAACCGGTCAGTCTGGACAGTGTTCCCGTCCCAATCGCATCGACCTGGTCGGAGCTAGACGACCAACGATTGTTGGAACAAGTTTCTCGACTCGGTGAAAATAAATGGAATCTGATCGNGATCGGAAAGAAGTTGGCTCGGTCTTCTGTTCAGTGCAGGGAAAGGTACATACCCCGTAGATTCCTAGATGACGAAGTCCAATGTGCTGCATTGCTTTTTCCCCGTTGACCACGCTACACCGCAGTTGTGGGATAGGCTGTGCCAGCGGTGAATCACTTAGTCATGGAGATCCACTATTTGTTCGTGTTTTAAGAACCGGCCACCGGCACCCAAAATCCTGGAGTAGCGAAAGACCTATGGTTCCAATAGAGTAAGCATAATGTTGGATCCAACGATGTCGAAGCTGCCTACCGCTAACGCTGGGCGATGTTTGTTGGGTCTAGGCCTGGAGCGCATCGGGGATAGCCATTAATGACGACGAACTCCCTACTCACATTCATGTCACTTATTGTCATCATCACATAGTGAATAATTTTACTGTATTTGTAATCGCGTGAAATCCTAATCTCTGTACCTCTTCGTTTGCTTCGTGTTCTTTCAAATTTCCGCATCAGATATTATGGTTGCGCTCATTTGTTCTATTTCAATTTAGAACTGCAGTTTTTCATTCGATTCCATACTTGAGATTGGCAATGTATCGTGCCACCCGTCCAACAAGTCCCGCATATAAGAAGATTGTTGGTGGAAAAGCAAAAGATCCTACAGAACACAAACGCATTATTCAGTTAATCTTCAGGCTATCAGAGCCAACTATGCTAGCTCCAATCCAGAAAGAAATAAGAGGTGGATAAAGTGTCTTCGTACTCTTCCCCTTGGAGCATCGTTGGGTGCACGTTAAATCGGCCATAAATCCTACCTGTCGGACTAGATACGGCCTCACATTCCGATGGATTCATCACCGGATATAAGCTAATTCCCTACGAATTTTGGACATCCACAGCTCAATTTTGGCGCATTCAGCGTCCAATGGAACAGGTATAGCCCCGAGACTGGAGCTCACCGCAAGCCTAAGGAGGCGTGGGACATTTGGTCAGGACGTGGAGAGACAGGTGCTGCCACAAAAAACTTCCGGAAGCTATTTCACCTCATCGGAACCACCGGTACCCAAAGACAGTGTGAGCGATGCGATCTGTGCAGCTAACGAGTCACTGGTCTATAGAACTAACGCAAAGGAAAAATATCAAAAAGTGTACGATAACACAAAAAGCATTGTTATTCTCTTTTTCCTAGTCTACTATGAATGTTTGCCTCCCGTGCGGCTCTGTTATTTACCTCAATCTCTCATTTCCTGTTTTTGTGTTGGCACCATGCTTGCCGAAAGCCAATGACGGAGTAGTGTCTAACGATCCATGCCATTAGACCCACTAAATAAAGATCAGATTCGTATGCAGGGCACGATATGAGGAAGGAACTCGCGTACGTTTTCTAAGATCTTGGAGTAGTAAGAAGCTCTCCCAGATTAGTTTGAGTCAATGATCGTCTTCGCCTTCGAGAAAGGACCACGAACTGTCTAACGCAGTCATAGGGGAATCAGTTCAATCCTGAATACTTCGAATATTTTGTTAACCATCGTTCTTCACAAAGTGTCTTCTCATAGGTAGGAGAAAATTTGAGAAGAGTAAGCCTAATTTCACTGTAGCCGCTTCTGTACAAATCAGATCTTTATGCCTTGGCTTTTCCTCTAACACCGATACACTTTTTGGAGCCCAATTATCATGATATTCTCGTATACAAGAACAGCATTCTATTCAACTATATGAGAATTCTCTTTTAAGAGAAGTGGTTTACAAAAGTAATGTACCAATCAAAAACCATATCTTCTTATCTCATTACGAGTAAGAGCTTACAAGTTCTCGTCTCCTGTTGTTTTTCTGAAGGGGATATCCTATCTTGCCGTTTTTTTTGTAACTTCTTGGTTGATAGTGTCCTTAGGAAGTCAGTCGAGAACCTCGTAAACGGTGATGTTTTGAACTCCGTCCTCCCAGAGAACAGGATTGTTGATGTCGAAAATGCTGACGATGTTATCTTGCTAACTCTTTACATCCAGGTAATTTGACATTCTCGAAACCGCACGACAACTCAAGTGACTGGATACGGATTTCACCCACAGTGTAAGTTGCTTCCGCGGAATTGATGGATGTAGGGGGTACCCGCGCTCAACTTGAGTAATGC